CCTATGCACATGGCAGTGCCCGGAAATCTTCCTCTCCCTAAGCTTCAAACCCTTGACTCGTATATCCTCTGCCTCATTCCCACTCACATTTTGTCTCATTTCTAGGGCCCTGCTTAAGTCCTAACCGTTTGTGTGAGAATGCACCGCTTCCATTTTACTCCTTCGAATCGCGAAAGACGCACTCCTCTCAAGTTGACATTTCTATCTAGTCTAATGATATTCGGATGATGTTTATGAGTGCGCTTGTGTTGGCTGATATCTTCCGTGGTGATAACCGTGACCAGTCGCATCACGTTCATACATAAATACAAACAATACACACAACTCATACGCACACACACTGATGACCTATATCTGGCCCATCTATACCTTTAGTCTTTAATTTCATATCCTACATCTCCCAAGTTAACCCCCTCTTACTGCACTCGCCTATTCTCAACTTCCCTTTATTCCACATGAGTCTCTTCTTGGTGATGTCTCTTCCTGCTATTGAACAGTTGTCCTGTGTCTAAGCATCTTCCTTTTGATGCCTTCGTCAAATCTCTAAGTCTGTTCAGACAGCATGCAAAATTATCGCTGATCCGTTCCTCTTCCAATCTCCTATTTATCAGGTTTCTTTGAAAGAGGATGTCTACAGACTCCCTGATCTTCAGTTCCCTGGTGTTTTCCCCATATGAGGCTAGTCATTTTGTTGAATTCCAGTCAATTTTGTGGCCGATAATGACTATGTGTTTAGCTATCCCCGATCTTTTCGTATCATTTTTCTGTATAGTCGTTGGGGTTTTTTGATCCTTGAGCTGATTGCCCTTCCCGTCTCTCTAATGTACCCAACCACTGGTCTAATGCTGGAAATCACGAATACCATGGCAGAGGATACTGGTCCAGATACGTTCCATAATGTCTCATTGACGCTCTGATCAAGTGAAGAAAACAATTTTGAACCTATTATATAAGGCTAAAAGAGTCTGTAACCAAACAGTAGGCTGCACCATCTTGCTCTCCATATTTACGATCTATTTTGGCATGAGTTAAAGGATTGATCAATTGATCAAAAATTATGTTATTGACTTGATCAAAGCAAAATTTATGTTCTTGAGAAAAGCATTCACAGTGATAGCGAAAATTATATCTACCACTAATGACGTCCGTTAAAATAGTCTTTTGAAATCAAAATCTATTTATGTTTTGTTGGTGCCTAAATACTTACTTACTATCTTATTTACAGCAATACAGGATGGTAGAGGATCTTGGCGCATAATTTTGATCACAGTGGTTGTATATAACTTGACTTGGGCGCCCATGGCAACCAGACGTTTGCAATTTATTTTATTGTTATAGTCAAATAGAAACCGACGATCTGATATTGTCTATAAACAGCTTGTCACTAAGGTATGTCAGGTTCCTAGTTTACCGACAAATATATATTTTGACAATTTCTCCAAAAACATGGCAATACGCAGCCATGTTAACGAACTGCGAACTTAAGACGTTTCTTTTACCATTTTATCTTGCATGGGCGACATTAACTCGGAGGCGATCGTGCTCTGGAATGTAAGGATAAAATATGCTCATGTAATTGTATTTGTATTCGATTATATAATTTTAGAATTTTATTGATGGTAATCTTAAATTCGTAGGTCATTTATCTTTAACAGTAGCAATATAATTTTATTTGACCATCTGGACTCTCTGCTGCCCCTTCCAAATGTTGGCCACTAAGGTATTACAAAGAGAATCAGAATAAACCAGGATGCCTTTACATGCATTGATAGCATATCATTTGTTAAGATTTTAATATTCCTTTGCTTAAGCTTTCTTAGCAGTCCTAAGCTTGTCTATTATGTAGAAATATTTGAATAAAGCTGGCGACATTATCAGGAGGATGGTTGAAAGCCATAAGGGATTTGAAGGTAGATATGAAGACCAAGTTGCTGTGGTCCCCATTTTTGTCGCTGTTTCATTTAGAAATAGAGAAGTGGCCTGACCTCGTTTTCGCAACTCGGTTGTGCTGTCAGGGAGATATATTTGGATGCACCATCTCCGAACTCCTTTGCTATAATAGTTATCATAATTCCCAGAGTCGGACCGTAGCTCCATTAATGCTGTAGTTAAGTTTGTCATTAAAAATTCATGTGTTTGGCTACGTACGACAACGTAGCCTTACCCAAGTCAAACAGAAAGGAAAAAACTACGTGACTAATTATTAATTACAGAGAATAAGCTGAATTATATAAGAGAGTTGAGAACGAAAAGTTAAAAATGGGCGGTAGTGCGTTGAGGAAGTGTGGTTTGTTCAGAACAAGTGCATTACAGGATGGCCAGAGGTCATAGGAAAATATTTCCATTATGGAAGGTGTTTTGCTGCTATAACTACCCTTAATCAGCAATTTAGATAAAAAATTGTAGTGATAGGACACTAGAAGTTCACTCATAGGGACATATATGTAGAATTTTTCTAAACTTTAGTGGTGCAAATGTATTTAGAAAGTTGCGTTTAACATTTTAAATGAGAGGGAGAGCTGAGGATAAAGCACTAGTAGAAAGCAAATTAATTAAGCCAAAAGGTCAGATGAGTTATTCTACAAGTATTTAACGGATAATTGGCCAAAGGGATTGATTTCCTTCTCAATCTGATTAGGTGTAACTTAGCGTTCAGGGTCACTGGCGATGTCTCTTGCAAGGTCGAAAAAAAGTATGGTAAAAGCCCTTTCAAAGTCCAGTTGCCGAAAGTATACAAAATATAGATGTCAGAGCACCACTAAGCTGAGATAATAAGGTCTCATCATATTTATTCAATGTAAGAAGCTGCTACACAGTCAAAGTTTACTCCAAATTTTCGTATTATCTGAAATATATTCACTTTTGAAGAATCCTTCCCATACTGTTCAGCCCTATTAATTATAACCAAATTTCTCACACGTTGATCATATTATTTATTGTTATTTTATGTCAAACTAGCTATTTTTCCACAATAATGTTTTAAAAATAGGAGTAACCTGTCACAATACTCGCTTCATTTTTTCTGTAGATACGAAGAGTAACTGTGTTTCAATAAATCTTCTGAGATAGCATTGTTAGAGGGATTTTCATCTCGTAAGTGAGTGTATTAAAACGCGTTTAGAGTGCCGATTTCATTAGAAGACAATTATTGATTTTTATTGTACTATAGTTGTTTGGCTTTAATATGACGTTCAGGTTAACTCAACCTACGAGATATCCTTATTCCTCTCGATTAAATTGAGGAATCATGTATCGTAGACTGTGTTAACCTGAATGTCTTATTAAAGCCAAACAACTACCGTAAAATGGAAATCAATCATTGTCTTCCGGTGAATCGCGTTTTAATACACTCACATACGAAATAAAGATCCCTTTAACAATGTTATCTCAGGAGATTTATCGAAACGCACTTACTCTTCGTATCTACAGAAAAAAATGAAGCGAGTATTTGGACAGGGTACTCCTATTTTTAAAACATCATTCTGGAAAATATCTTGTTTAACATAAAATAACAATACATAATATCATCAACGTGTGAGAAATTTGGTTATAATTTATAGGGCAGAACAGTATTGGAAGGATTCTTCAAAACTGAATATATTCCAGATAATACGAAAATTTGGAGAAATCTTTGATTATGTCACAGCTTCCTACATTGAATAATTATGATGAGACGTCATTATCTCAGCTTAGTGGTGCTCTGACATCTATATCTTGTATACTTCCCGCAACTGGACTTTAAAAGGGTTTTCTTATACGATACAAAAGGAATCAGTTGTCATCTTCTGGTGAAATCGGCCTTCTTATCTCTATGTCCTGCACTTTGATGCGAAATCAGGTCTCCTCAACTTTTCTTATGTAATGCTCTCTGTGATTCACTACCTGCTTGAGGAAGAAATATACGGTTAAAAAAATCGGCTATGAAATATATAAATATTAAAGCAGATAGTAGAAAGCATTCTCGTTTTAACTTCCTTTTAAATTTATTTGTCAATGAGTCGCAAGTTTATGGATAAAATTGAATGTGGAATGCAAGTATTCGTCGCTCGCAGATAAAATGTGAATGTAATATAGAGCAGTGGTCTATATTTATATGCTTAGCTCATAAATCTTATCCAACAAATAAATCTACATTTGTGCCGCTGCTTACACTCTCAGTGAGACGTTTAACGCACCGCATCAGACACAAAACCATAATTCCTAGATCCCTAGAGCTAGTAATACCTTAGTGTCAGATTTCCTATAAGAAGTATACCTTAGCAACTCACAAATTATCCTTAAAAGGATGCTCCTAGAATCTTAAATCTCCTCGATATTTATCTGCAACAACACAACTATCCTCTCTGTGACCAGGTGCCTGTGCTGTATCATACCAACAGATGTACCAACCGTGAGAGAACTATCGTTTGCCACTCCAGAGTCCAATTTTCCAACGAGATAAATTTCAACAGAATCTAGCTATTTCAACCGTGTAGTCTTAGTTTGGGCATTACTTTTACATGAATGTCACCTCATAATATCCTTGTTATAAAATTGCATTGCATAAAATTAAACTAAGAATTTCTTTAAATTGAGCAACTATCACTCAAGCTAAATTTTATGATTAAGTCCATTTGTAAGTAAAACTAATTTAATAGGCTTAAATGTATTTCTAGATGTGGTTTACCTCACAAACCTATTTATGACTAAATTTGATGATACAATTCATATTTTATGTAATATTAAGTTATTTATGCCAAATAACACCGCTAAATTATTTAATAAAAACGAAATGTTTATATAATGCTTTAACATTGACTATGCTACAAAAACCTTATTGTTAGATAAATTCAGTTTAAATCAACTGGGCTGCCCTCAATGGCCATCTGGCTTATTTGACATTACTCTATCTCACTCCTTCATCTCTCTGTTTTAGTGAATACCTTATATTCGCTTGGTGTAATTGTATGCACATCGTGAACTTCTCGACCCTATTTAAAAGCCATTCATTATAACTTGGTATGGGGAATTGCTTCGGTAAAACGAGGCCCCAATCCTATGCTGCCACTGAGACAGAAAATGTCAGATATCCTCCACCTTCTCGTGCTGTTGTATCTAATGGCATTACTTCACCTATTGTTTCTTCAGCCTCACCTAGAAAGCCACTACATCCAATAATTAAATATCAAGTTCAACCTACTCAAATAGAGCATGACGTCCACTCTGTAGTCACCTATAATCCTCCTGCTCCAACCCAACAAACACCTAATGGACGCAGTCAGATTCGCGTCCGCGCCCTTTATTCATATACTAGGCACAACCATGATGACCTTAACTTTGAAAAGGGCGATGTCATGGTGGTACTTTCGGATATTTCTGATGCTTGGTGGCTCGCCACTCATACAGTCACAGGTGCCATAGGTTACATTCCAAGTAATTATGTCGTCATTGATGATGGGAAACCAACGAGTCTTGATGCATGGTTTGACATAAGCCGACGCGATGCTGATCGGAAATTGCTCCCTGGAGGAATTATTAAAGGCGCATATATTATAAGACCCAGTTCAGGTACGTATGTCTAGATTAACTAATTAACAAGATTTTTATGTTCTTTTCGTTAAAAGTAGCGTTTATAGCCCCAAAATTTGTGCCAAATATTGATTTTTAGTTTTGTGTTTTTAGATCCGCGTCATTATGCCCTCTCAGTTCGACATTTCGACACAGAAAAGAATATGTATGTCGTAAAACATTACAAAATACGTAGTCTGGACAATAATGCAGGCTACTTTATTAGCTCTCGTACTACGTTTCCAAATATTGGCGAGCTTATTGAATATTATCGGAGTGAGTTTGATTTTTAGTTGCTATGTATGGTATCTTAATGCATATATGTTTGTTTTGATTACGATATTTTAAAAATTTTATTTTGAATGATCACTTTCCCGGTTTATGGCGTTTGGGTTCTTATCTATTGTTTCTGTTTATGGTTCTTATACATGGGCTCTTATGGAATAATATGTATCTGATTCAATTTTAGGTCTAAATAATCTATAATTTGAATTTTTCGTATCAATGAATAAAAGTTGTGCTTGAAAGGATCCTTTGGCAATTTCATGTTATTAGACAGCATTTCATGTTTAAACGTTGGATGGGATGGGTAAACTTACTATCAAAAACTGTGTAAAGGTTGCCTTGTAGTTATAACTGTTGCTATTAGCAAAGAAGCACCCTAATAAATTTATTGCTGATCTAATTAATCCTTGAGCTTTTATATTTCATGTGACAGATTAGGGCTTGGATCCTTGAACAATATTTACCAAATAGCCTGTGAGGATGACTAATTGTTATACTATCTACCTACTTATCACAACGTAACTTTTTAAATCCTATATTACCTAACCTGGTTTTACCTCAGATTAGAAGTTTGCTACCGAAAGGGCTTCATAACTAGCCTTATCTGCTTGCGAATGAGTGAAGTGAATATTGGCATGGCTGATAAATAGCCAAAACGTGTTCTTTATTATGTTGCTTATTGCGTTATGCTCGTGTCATGCCCTAACCAGATCCCAGGTAAATTAAGTCTCCTCTTTTTATGTGATTTGTCCTGCTATCTGACACTTATTATTATGCTTTACAACCAGTAATGGTCCTATTTTCTACACACTACTACTTTGATTTTAGTCATTTTGTTAACTTTATTTATTTACTCCTTTTATCTACCTAAACACTCCATCATCCAGAAAGCGTTTACTCTTACCTAATTGTATCTAGTCTTTATTAACAATGCATATACAGGTTATATTTCCTGATAAACAATTCTTTAAAGTTTATCTACATCATATTTCTTGTTATTTGGAAATAGTTAACTTGTATACATCAAAACTCAACTTCACTCATTTTTACTTTTAAATTATCTCGTAAGACACCTTCAGCTGTTTAAGAATAAATTCAAGATTCTCTATATTTAGATGGGAAAATTTTCACTTTACTTATACACCTTGATTCATTTTCAAAAATGGCTTTATTATGTACCAAAAGCTGTTCATAATTGACAGTAATTTAGATAATTCATATCTTCGTATTTTCACATCCTATATTCCTTTTTTTCTCTTTACACTAGTTGTACTTTCAATTCTCGTCTAAATTTTGGTTTATTTTTTCGCATTTTCTAATAATAGTTATCCCAAATTGTTCTATGAATTTAGATATGGTTTTAATTCATTTAATGCTTCAAGCGGGTGCTTTTATTTAAACGGTGGTAATACTTCTAAAATCACTTCGTACTTCAGTTATCTAAAGTCTCACTTCCATTAATGTTTTTGAGACCTGGAAATGGTGGCAAAAACCTGTAGCTGACACGATAAGATATAATGTAGATTGTAAAACATCTTTAAAGAATCCTTTTATTTTTCTCAACTTATTTTACATTACCGCAAAAATGTTAATGAACCACTTATATATGTATATATCGTTTGCGTGAGTAGAGAATTGTCCTTTATCAGGAACTCATAGTCACAGCTTTCCAGTGGCAAAAATGTTTCGACGAATTTTTTGCTACTGCCACGTTTACTTGAGTAAACTTAGAAAACCAACTAGGGAAAAAACTTCAGGCATTTACTATTATTTTTTATTGTTACGAATAGCTCTCAACAACCCTAGTACAGGAACTTCCTCTTTATTTTACATGCATATTTCAACTTGGTTTCTTCTGCAAAATTGTACTTTAGGCGACAATATAAGCATTAGAACGTTCCAAGAGAGCACGATGTATCCAAGAGAACTTATCTGTTTGTATACCTTGATAAGAACTTAGTAATCCTGTCACTGAAGTTTTCCCCTTAATAATATGGGTTGACTACTAAATCATCGTTAAGAGTGATTGTCGATGAGACAAATAAGTTTTTGCCATGGCAATCCATGGCGAAACTTATTTTTACTGTTGTTATCTGGTTGCTGCGAATTCGATCAGAAAATATCAGAATTTAACATACTTTCGGAAGATTACTGATTACTTAATTGGCCTAGTGTTAACGTGAGACTCTTACAATAATGAAACCCAGCTCCGATTATGTCCATCATATGATGGACGAAAGCTCAGCACATTTTTACCCGAAACGAGAGAGGAAGTCTAGTGGACTGCGTCGAAATGAATATCGCATAAAAGCCGAACGGCTGCAGTACAACGAGATTCATCCGTCCTCATCTGGTGAGATCGACCAACGAATCT